TATATATATTTATAAAATTAATTTAAAAAAAAAATTTTTTAAAAATTTTAATTTTTCATAAAAGTAAATCAGAAGGGTAATAAATAAGCAGGCAAATTTGCCTGCGAACCTCTACAGTTTAAAGGATATAATTTTTCTACTATATAGATTTACTTTCCACTTCATTTTACTTTTCTTTTTAATAATCACTAAAGTTTTAAAAAATATTAATTATATTGTTAAATTATATTTATTATTATATTATATATTTATTTATTTATTTATATTATAATTGTACATTAATTTCCTTCATTTTTTACTTGTATTAGCAAATAAAATATATTATATTATATCTGTAATTTATTTGTTAAGCTAAACTTTGTTAGAATTTTATCTTATTACCTCTGTATCTGATATGGTATTCTTCATTTCTCCTTCTTTTTTCCTTAACTAATAAATCTATTTTGTTATTTTTTCAAATTATTTTTATAGTTAAAGATAGCGTTGCAATATTGTGACACTTATTTATCACCTGTTGCAACTTAAATTTTAATAATGTTACAATTTATTGTAACATTGTGATGCTTATTTGTCACATGTTGCAACTAATTGAGGTGTCATCTTTATTTATAGTTATTTTTACTTTTAATTTAAAAAAGTTTAAAAATGTAAAAATTATAAAATTTAAAATTAAAAATTTAATGATTTAAGATTCAAAAGGTGAAAAATTATATAATGAAAAAAATACTTTCTTTTATAATTAAATTTATTTATTTGATATAATATTTTGTGAAATTCTATATTTCTAATTAAAATAATATAATTTTGATCAAAATCTTGCTTTGTATAAAAATAATAAGTTAAAATAATAATTTAAGCATCATATTATAATTGTGTATCATATCATTTATAAAAATTAAATCAATTTAAATATAATAAATAAAACTCATAATTAAAATAATATAATTAGAACTCTTTATAATTAAAATTCTAATTTGTATTAAAAACAAAAGTTAAAATAATAATTTAAGCATTATATTATAAGGATAAATTTAATTATAATATCCTATTACATGTCTTATTTGTAACACTTAAAATTTTATCCAATCAAAATTTAAGATCAGGTGTAATGTTAATAATTTAGCAAATCAAAACAAAAGATCATTTATGTAATGTAAATAAGAATTTTTTTAAGATTTCAAAAAAACTGTTTGTAATTGAAATTTTGTTTATGAAACTGTCTTTGCATTTAAAAATCTTATTTATAAAATATTTAATAAAATAATTTATTATTAAAAAAATAAAAAAAGGTATTACAAATAAGATATGTAACAGAATATTACAAATACATTTTTCCATATTATAATTGTGTATTATTTTTTTTTATAAAAATTAGATTAATCTAAAAATAACTTACGCAAATTTAATAAATATAATACATCAGATAATTAGAATAGATTAACAATAATACATTATTACTTTAATAGTAAATAAAAATTATTATCAAATTATTTGTCATAATTTAATAAAATCAATAAGTAATTTCAACACAAGTTCAATAAAAAATTAATCAAAAATTATAAAAAACAATGTGAATTTTTAATACAATTTCAATAAAATTTAACAAATTTTATATGATCATAAGGTATTATTTTAATTAATATTATCATACATGCTATATATACTATATGCTGAACATATTGCATGTTGATCATAGTAAATAACATATATATATATATCAATTATTTGATTAATAAAATTTTATATACTTTTTCGCAACTTTTTTGATTTTACAAATAAGCTAACTGTACAATATTACTAACATTTTAAAATTTTGTTTAACATAAAATATTTGCTCACTTTTCAAAACATTTTTATAAGTTTTAAAAGTTAAACAGTTTGGTAGTTTTAAGAATATCTCTTCAAATAAGTTGTCTATTATATGCTGATTTTAATATGTAAAAGTGATATAAACAATTTTAAAATGAAAAATATGTTATATTAACAAGAGATATTTAATTTTAATGATAATTTTTTGATTTTAAAAACTTTTTTTTAAAAAAAAAAATAATACTAAATGAAACATTTTTTTTACAGATATTTTATATTTTATTAGAATAGAATATTAATATAGAATATTAAATTTTTTTCAATAATATCCTATAATATATAATTTTAAATTAGTAAAATATATTATGTTCTTATTATTTAATAATCTTTCTTATTTTTACATATTCTTTTTAGTGTTTTATTAATATTGTTTATTTAGTTCAATAGTGTTATTCAAAGAAGAACATAAATTATTTATCTTTAATAAAAGTTATTATTTCAGCTAAATTTTATTTAAATTCAAAATATTTATTAAAAACTTCTTATCATAAAATTTTTATAATATAAAAATTCATTTTTTTTTAAAACAATTGATCTTTTGTATTTTACATAAAATCCCCATTTTACAATCTAAGAGAATATTCTTTCTTCTATAAAATTACATATATTTTTATTATTAAAGTTGAATATTTGTATCTACTTGTAAGAAGATCTTGAAAAAACTATTTTTAAAGCGAAATTTCACGTACATGTAAAAAAAAAAGTAATCTAAAAGGAAAATCAATGGTTAGAATTGATTAAGCACATGATAATCTATCGATTTCTTAATTAATATAAGTGGTAAGTGTAACAGTTTGCGATAGTTAACTATAGAGTAAAGTAACTCAATTATAGTTACACAAAAAATTTTTAATATGAAAATGATCTGCGTGCGACATGTCTAGCGTATGATACGTATTCTTTATCATGGCTTTAACGCATTACGCTTCGCACTATTAATATACACGTGATAAAAATTTAGAATTTTTATTGGTTTGATTTGGTGTAACATTTTATGTAGATCACAAATATTAAACCAATTAAAACAAACTTCCATCATGCTAAGAAATAGTTGTAGAGTATTGACTAAACCATTTTTACAAATTAGCCCAAATATGGTGTTGTTAGTTGTAGCATTTTTTCTCAAAAAATAAAAAAAATTCATCGTGTAATCACCCGGGTCTTCCAAAATTTTGGTCAAAACCCGTATTTATGATGATATATTATTGATTGATGATGCAAATGTAACGTTATTTGATCTTGGGAAATTCCACTAAGCAAGTAAACAATTCAGCCGACATCACAAGACCTTTCACAGCATGTATTAATTTATATAAAAATAGATGGGGCCGGAACAAGTTCGAAAATTTCAAATTTCAAATTTCTTTAATTCTTTTAAAAATGACAACTCTACAATTATTAACTAGTAATAATAATGATACTCTTTCAAATGAAATCCAAATAAGTAATGAAAGCTATGAAAGCAATGGTAATCATTCTACAAGAGAAAGAATGATACCTACAAGTGACGCTGAGATGTAAGTAAAAATTTTAATGTTTTTATTTCCGTCATGGGAAATTCTTTCTTTCCTTATAAGAAACTATTTTTTTTTTTTTAATAAAAAACCATCCCCCGCTTTTACTTCGAATGGAACCATTAATAATATTATAGAACAATAGGTCACGATTTAGAACTACGTAAAGCACTTATTCCCCTTATAGTCGATATGATACCAGGTTGGAATGATATTTCTCATGAATCTCATATTCAAATAGAGAGAATCAGTGGAGCTCTTACAAATTGCGTGTTTTTCATTACGAAGTTACAACCACCTAATAAAGTTGAAAATGAAAAACCTCCTAAAATAGTAACCCGAATATATGGTATTGGAGTGGATCAATTTATTGATAGACAAAAAGAATTACGTTTTTTACAAATGTTGTCATCCGTAAATATTGGACCACAATTGTTAGGAATATTCAAAAATGGTAGGTTTGAACAATACTTAGAATCTACGACACTGACAAATGCCGAGTTGCGCACTCAATCATGTCGTATTGCACAACGGATGTTTCAACTTCATTATATCGTTCGTTTATTTCCACCGCCACGAGAAACAATTCCTGAAGTTTGGGCCAACATTGATAAATGGTATCCGTTGGTTTTAAATACTATATTTTCGAACGCATACAGGTTTACCGAAGAGCAGAAAGGTGATTTGAAAGAATTCGATTTTGAGTTGTTGAAATTTGAGATTGAACATCTCAAAGTCATGCTTTCTAAACTTAATTCTCCAATTGTCTTTGCACATAATGATGTAAGTAGATATGATATTCCAATTCTTTTTAAACCTGAATTAAAATACGAGCCTACATCTAGATTTTTTTATTTTTTTTTTTATTTTAGACGCAATATGGAAATATCCTCCGACTTTTGGACGGTACCGATCAATTAGTTGTGGTGGATTTTGAATATTCTGGATATAATTATCGAGGTTTTGATATTGGTAATCATTGGTGCGAGTGGATGTTCGATTATCATTCTTCAGATCCACATAAAGTTAATTTAGATTGGTATCCAACGGAGGAAGAACAAATTAAATTTTTACAAGCTTATATATTAGCCGAAAAACAATTAAGTTCATCTGAAGAACGCTTAATTTACTCACCTTCTCTGTCTTCTAGTAATGATAATCATTATTTGCAAAAGCTTAGATTGGAAGCTAACGCTTTTGCTTTATCAAGTCATGTTATGTGGGGTTTATGGGGTTTGATACAATCAGGTCAAAGTAATATAAACTTTGATTACTTGGGTTATGGCATGGCACGACTAAAGACCTTTAGGGACTTGTCATCTGAAATTTATGACAAAATTAATTTATTATAAATACATGTATATTTTAATACATATTTATTTATTTTTTAATATTTTCAATTTAATGCACAAAGTATTTTTTTATAAGTTCATTGAATGAGTGTTAATTAGCTCCTTCTGAAGGTTTGAAAAAATTTTTTGGTGGTACACTAGAACAAGGTTCTTCGGAAGTCTAAAAATAAGGAAGTTATATTTTTCGTTATAAAAATAAAAAAATATTATTATTTAGATTAATATCATGTAAATTTACCACATAAGCAGCAGTGAGACCACCATCAACTTTAAATTCAATGCCTGTAATATAGGATGATTCATCGGATGCCAAGAATAAAGCGGCATTGGCTATTTCAATTGGCTCACCAAATCTTCCCAATGGAACATGAACTAAACGTCTATTTTTTTTTTCATCTGTATTTAGATAATTCATTAATAATGGGGTACGTAAAGGTCCCGGACATATTGCATTAACGCGAATGTTTTCACGAGCGTGGCAAACTGCCAATTCTCGACTTTATTTATTCGAAAGAAAAAAAAAAAAAAATGAAAATGAAAATGAAAAAAAGTAGACAATGCATGGATGATTGATTTCGGATTTTACATACCTTAATGCTATAACTGCGCCTTTGGAAGCGGTATCTAAATAAAATAGCCAAGTTAACAGAATAACATGCCTTACATAACATTTTTAAAATGTATAATCCTTACATGCTAACTGAGGAGTTGCGGCACCCATCAACCCGACAAAACTTGCCGTGTTAATTATACTACCACCTTTGCCTCCCCTTCGGATTGCTTCAATAGCGTATTTGCATCCAAACCAGACTCCTTTAAGATTGATATCCATAGTAAGATCCCTTTATCATGGATTAAACAAAAGGTTAATTACCCTCTATTAAATGAAACAATTATTATTATTTATATGATATTATTTACCAGACTTTTTCATCGGTATTGATAACATTATCATCTTGAGGGTGCATGATACCCGCGTTATTAAACATAACGTCAAGCTTACCTATTTAACGTGCACAAATATATAAATAAAATTCATAAATTTGAAAATTTATAAAAAGAATTACCGAATTCTTTCAAAGTATCTTCCACTAATTTCCTAACTTCTGCTTCTTTGGAAACGTCACATTTCAAAGCAATAGCATGTCTTCGAACATGTATTATCCCGGTTTTATCCTTAATCCTTTCAATTGTAGCTTCAGCGGCTTTAAGATCGATATCAGCTACTACAACATCAGCTCCTTCTCGTGCAAAAAGAACCGAGGCTTCAAAACCGATACCACTACAAATGACAAAGCAAAGACTTAAAATTAGCTCTTCGGCAAATATATATATGTGTGTATATATATATCTTTTTATACCTTCCTCCTCCAGTAATAATGCAGACTTTTCCATCAAGACGGCCTTTAAGATCTTTGACGGCTTTTGTTAAAGACATTTTTCTTTCTCCAAATTCTAAAAGAAATATAAAATTTAACGTGTAATTGAAAATCCATTTCCTGAACTTTAAAGATGGATGATATTTCTCACGTGATTTCCACCATTTAATAAATATATTCGAATTATTTTTTTTTTTTTATAAAAAAAAAATGAAGACAGATTTCAAAGTATTTATTTAATTATTTGTAAACTCGCTCTTCCATTCAAAGGAAGCAAAGGAAATATACAATTCTTTGTTAATTATTAATGCATGTTTATAGTTTTCAAATTTATGTGGAACAGTATACACCCAAGGAAATTTATTGTTTACTCCTGACGGAAATTCATTGCTGAGTCCGGTTGGAAACCGTGTTTCGGTGTTCGATCTTGTGAAGTAAGTTTTTATTATTATTTATTTATTTATTTTTCATTAAGAATAGTACCTAAAAACTTGCTTTATATTTTTGCATAGCAACAAATCCCTAACTTTTCCATTCGAGACAAAAAAAAATATAAAACGACTTGCCTTATCGCCAAAAGCTAATTTGTTAATAACGGTTGATGAAGGTTTGTTAATTCGTTTTCCACTTTAACAAGTTTGTTCGAATTTAATTTGCCTAATTCCCGGTTTATATATTGATCAATCTTCAGAGGGCAGAGTTCTTTTAATTAATTTTCAACGTCGCATAGTATTACATCATTTTAATTTTAAATCACCAGCTGAAGATATACAATTTAGTACAGATGGAAGGTAAGAATTACGTGATCATTTAGTGTTTTCCTTAAAACAATTAATTTAATTTAAATAAAATTAATCAGATATTTCGCTGTTGCCATTGGAAAGCACATTCAAGTTTGGAAATCTCCAGGCTTTAATCGTGAATTTGCTCCGTTTGTTTTACATCGAAAATATACAGGTCATTTTGATGATGTCACTTCTATAACATGGACAAGTGATTCTCAGTGAGTTTATATATATATATATATATATTCCGTTTTGTTAGTTAAGCTTTTAAAATTATTTATTTTTATTTTAGATTTTTTATTTCCACTTCAAAAGACATGACTGCAAGAATTTATTCTTTACATCCCATCGAAGGTTTCACGCCTATCACTTTATCTGGTCATAGAGATTACGTAATTGGAGCGTATTTTTCCGCTGACCAAGAAACAGTAAGTGTATTTTACTTTGTGGTACCTTGAATAAAATTAAATCTCGATTTAAAAAATTTACCAATTTTATATTCAAGATATATACCGTTAGTAAAGATGGTGCTTTATTTATTTGGAAATACAAATCACATGATGAGATAAAGAGAGTTGAGGAAGAGGATGTGGATGTGGATGAAATGGATATTGATAAAAAAGATGATCCACAACTAACCAAAAAATGGATGATAGTGACTCGTCATTACTTTAATCAATCTGGAGCGAAAGTAGTTTGTTCTGCTTATCACGCAGCGTCGAAACTATTAGTAGTTGGTTTTACATCTGGTATTTTTGGAATTTGGGAAATGCCAGATTTTAATAATATTCATACTTTGAGCATTTCACAAAAAAAAATTGATTCTGTAACAATTAATGCGACCGGAGAATGGTTGGCATTTGGATCTTCGAAATTAGGACAACTTTTAGTTTGGGAATGGCAATCTGAATCATATGTTCTTAAACAACAAGGACATTACTATGATATGAATACTTTATCATATTCAGCGGATGGTCAGAATATTGCAACTGGAGGTGATGATGGGAAAGTAAAAGTGTGGAATACAATATCCGGATTTTGTTTTGTCACGTTCTCCGAACATTCCTCGGGCGTGACAGTGGTGGAATTCGCGAAAAATGGTCAAGTGTTATTTTCCGCATCCTTAGATGGAACTGTTCGAGCGTTTGACTTAATTCGTTATAGAAATTTTAGAACCTTTACATCACCTTCGCCTGTTCAATTCACTGCGTTAACCGTTGATCCTAGTGGAGAAATTGTATGTGCTGGTTCGATGGATACTTTTGAAATTTTTGTATGGTCTGTTCAGACCGGTAAACTTTTAGATATTTTGTCAGGTCACGAAGGACCAATAAGTTCTTTAGCTTTTAGTCCAACTGGTATAGAATTAGCTTCAGGTTCATGGGATGGTACGACCCGTATATGGGATGTCTTTAATCGTGGGAAACATGTCGAAGTTTATCGTCATAATTCGGATGTATTGGCCATAACTTACCGTCCTGATGGAAAACAATTGGCAACTTCCACATTAGATGGTCAAATCAATTTTTGGGATTTAGAAAATGGCATTCAAACTGGTACAGTTGAAGGTCGTAAAGATATTTCAGGTGGTAGAAAGGTAAATGATAGAACTACTGCTGCAAATTCCTCTTCAGGGAAATCATTTAATAATTTATGCTATACAGCTGATGGATCTTGTATATTGGCTGGGGGGAATAGCAAATATGTTTGTCTTTATGATTTGAAAAGTCAAATACTTTTAAGAAAATTCCAGATTTCTCATAATTTATCTTTAGATGGAATTCAAGAATTTTTAAATAGTAAAAATATGACAGAAGCTGGACCAATTGATTTAATAGATGAAACAGGGGAATTAAGTGATCTAGAAGACAGGTTAGATAATAGTTTACCAGGAACACAAAAAGGAGACCTTTCATTACGTAAAACAAGACCAGAAATTCGAACAAAATCTATCAAATTTTCACCAACAGGTAGATCATGGTCAGCGGCATCAACGGAAGGTTTACTCATCTATTCATTAGATGAAAATTTAATATTTGATCCATTTGAGTTGGAAATTGATATCACACCTATAACAGTATTAGAAACTTTACGTTCAAAAGAATATCTTAAAGCTTTGATAATGTCATTTAAACTTAACGAATTATATTTAATTCATCAAGTATATGAAAAAATTTTACCTGAAAATATTGAATTAATAGTTAAAGGTTTACCAGAAAAATATACGGACAAATTATTAAAATTTATTGCCAATAACATTGAAGAATCTCCTCACATTGAATTTCATTTATTATGGATAATGAAATTATTAACTATACATGGGAGATATTTAAGACAATATTCTAATCAATTTTCGAGTATATTGCGGTTATTACAAAAAGCTATTGGAAAAACCCAAGAAGATTTGGCCAAAATGTAAGTAAAAATATAATTAATTTTCAATAAATTTTTGGTTTTCGTTATTTAATTATTTTTGTTTTCCATAGATGCGATGAAAATACTTATACGATAGAATATCTATTGTCTTTAAAAAATAATTGATCTCAATAATAAATATCGTATTTTGAAGCGAATTTACCATAATGAAGGTCGTTTCAAAGTTTTTTTTTTTTTTTTTTGTCGATTATTCGCTGCATTTCAGATGAGGTTTCACAATAAGTAAAAAAAAAAAAGATTTAAATTTTAAATTCACGCGAATATGAGGTTCTCGAACCACTTCGGAGACAAATATTAAATTAAGGGATTATCGATAAATGAAGATCAATCAATCAATCAATTCATTGATACATTTTTTATTTTTTACATGATATAAATAAATGTTTATAACAAAAATTCTATTTCATTTTTTTTTCTGGACGGAGACTTCGTACAACTTTACCAGCACTCCATATTTCACTGTCGCTATATAAAAAAAATATACATATTTATATAATTTAATCAAAATAATTTAAAAAATATCATTTATAATATAAAGTTTTACCTAATTTCTTTTAATTCTTTTTCTAATTCTTCACGATATGTTGGTAAAGAATTTTTTTCCAAAGTTCTTCGAGCTTCAGTTCCATCAGCAACGGAATCATATAATTTTTCAAAAACTGGTTTGGCAGCATCACGGAATGGTTTATACCAATCGAGAGCACCACGTTGTGCAGTAGTTGAACAAGCAGCATACATCCTTTAAATATATAACTTAGTAATATAAAAAATAATAAAAAAAAATATTATATATTAATATAATTTTTACCAATCCATTCCGTTTGCACCAATTAATGGATACAACGATTGTGTTGCCTCTTCTACAGTTTCATTAAACGCTTCGGAAGGTGTATGTCCACGTGATCGTAAAACTTCATATTGAGCAAGGAATAAACCTTGAATGGCACCCATAAGCACACCTCGTTCCCCAACAAGATCAGAAAAGACTTCCCTTTCAAAAGATGTTTCATAAAGGTAACCTGACCCGATGGCCACACCAAGAGCCACAGCCTTATCTTTTGCTTTACCAGTAACATCTTGAAAAACTGCAATCGAAGAATTTATGCCGCGTCCTTCAAGGAAGAGAGAACGAACGGTTCTGCCCGATCTATGTTACACCGAATCAAGATGATAATAATACCACCAAAATAAATAAACTTACAAAATTCCAAATCAAAAATTTTTTAAATGATTGATTTTTATATATATATATATATACCCTTTTGGAGCAACCATAATTACATCAATATCCTTCGGAGGTATGACATGAGTATCATCCTTATATACAATAGAAAATCCATGGGAGAAATATAAAGTCTTCCCTTTTGTTAGGTGTGGTACAAATTGGGGCCAAAGTTCTTTTTGAGCAGCATCTGATAAAAGATTAAAAATAATTGTTCCTTTATTCAATGCCTCGTCAATAGAAAAGAGTGTCTTTCCTGGAACCTATTTTTATATTTGATAAACGCGAAAATCGAAACGAAGTAAATATAACGTCAAACCCTTATGAATTTTCATAAAAAAAATTTATAATATGTACCCAACCATCCGCCAAGGCTTCGTTCCAACTCCTTCCTTCTCGGAGTCCAAGGATAACGTTTAATCCATTATCACGTGCATTCAAACTTTGTCCGCTTCCTTGTGGTCCATATCCAATTATAGCAATAGTATCATTTTTTAAAAATGCTTGAAATTTATCTTTTGGCCAATCGGATCGTTCATATATATTTTCTTTGGTTCCACTAAAGTCGAGAGTTTTCAATGTTCGAATTTGAATTGGTTGAGAGTGCTTTTGAACGTTTAAAACGTTAAACTTAATCGTTAAATTTTCGAAACCCCCCCCCCCCCCGATATTTAAATTTTTTCATGGTAATTACCTTAACAATAGCAGGTTTTTTGACAGTTGAACTTGATAATATTGAAAAAGCCCTTGAACCAACAGTAACCTGTCTTTGTTGCCTTAAAAAAGTAAAAGCATTAGAAGAACGACTTAACGAACGAAATAAAAAGCGTGTAGAATTCATTTTGTGAGAAAAAAATTTTTTTTCTCAAAATTTTTCTTTTTAAATCTTTTGATCGATCTTGATCGACATTATCGTTATCAGTCAATGGCACCGCCCAATTATTTATGAACCAATTAACATATTTTTCAACGGAACATAAATAAAACGTCGCTAAGAAATTATCCTGTTTTTTTTTTAATATTTTTTTGTGATATCACAAATAAAAAAAATACATAAATTATTAGTAAAACTTTACCAGCTGTCACTTTTGAAATTAATTCTAAATCCTTGCGGTTGATTTATTATATATTATACATACTTATACATACTTGTTTCATTATCATTAGCCATTTTAATCCAAACATTTAAGCAAATTTCATAGTATTAATATATTGCATTTCAGTTTCTGGTTGCTATATTTTAACCAATCTTGTGTCTTAAATTTACTATACATTTATTATTAGAAAGATTTAACTTTTTTAAAATTTAAACTAGAGATTTGTCTTAAATGTTTATTAATTTTATGATAATACCTATATAAATAGCTATTATTTTAAGTTTTTTCAGAAATCCATCTTTTATAATACTATTGTATATTGAATCCAACTATATTAAATTTTAAAGTAAAATAGTATTTTAATAAAATATAAATAATAAATAAAATTACTTATATTAATACTTATATTTATTAATGTTATATAATTTCAAATAAAAATTTGAATTCATATAAGTTAGATGTTTAGTAAAGTATTTTTTATACATTTAATTATTTCTGAAGTAGTGTCCTGAAACATATTAATATATTAATATATTAATATGTTTCAGAACACTACTTGTATAAGACTAATATGTCATAAGACATTATAATTTATTAATTAATATGTCTTAAGATGTTATAATCTATTAATTAATATCTTCTAAGATGTTTTAATCTATTAATTAATATGTTCTAAAGATGGGTCTGTTTTCCCTCTTGTGACCTGTTGGTAATAAATATAGATGAGGTATGCACCTATTTGGTTGCCTTTCTAGATGCTAAAGTAATGTAAAAAAAAGGTGACAGATAGCACAGTAATTTGATATAAATCTGCAATTAATTTCAGCTAGCATTATGACATAATTTCTGGTTGATCTTTAGAACACATGATCTGATAATACCTGAAATTCTTCTAAAACTATTATAGAATTGGCAAAGAATCAGAGTATTTCTAAAAATTTCATTTTTCAAAGAAAACTTTTATTTTTATTAAAAACTTTAACTATACAACATGACTCTTGATATTTTCAAAAATCTTTTTACCTAAGAAGTCTTAAACTTCCAAAAACTGAAGTTTTATATTACACTGGAACTAGAAAAATGAGACTTTGCTATTGCGGAATTTCTCTCATATGAAACACTAGAAGTCTTTTGGCTTATTAGAAAATTAAATAAAGAATACTTAAAAACTTTTTCAGCAAAACACACTGCACAAGAAATTTTTCTCAATAACAATTTTATTGATAATCTAATGAGGTTTTATGCTTATAACTTATATAAAATTAGAGCAAGCGATCATAGAATTAATAACACTAAAGATATTATTTTGAATACTATTGAAACGACTCTTTCTTACAATGAACCTGAAGACGTTATTTTGCTTCATGATAATGAGGAAATCTCTTCATAAATGGATACACTAAATGATGATGACATGTCAACAGATACGAATAATACACAACACATTAATCTTCCTTTCTTTTCATCAATATCTAATATACAACATTCTTCGTCTAATAATCAAAATAAAATAACAAACAAAAATCAAAACAAAACAGACAACAAAAAATCTTACGCGTCAATCATAAAAGAATCTAAACAAAATATTCACGCATCTGCAGATCCTATCAATAACAACAACAATATAGATGCGTTCTTACATAATCCAAACAATAATATTACACAAAGCCAAAAATTACACAAGAATAATTTATGTCACACTATAAAAAACACTTCTCATGTGACTAAACCTAATAATAAAGGAAATATTTTCGCATTACTACTAGCTTTTGCCATGTCAGAAGATAATAGAATAGAGAAATTAGATTTCATTTCCTCACTATTTTCTAAAAAGTCAGGCTTTGTAAACATAAATTGAAAATTCCATAATGGTAATGCCAATATTTTTATAGAATTTAATAACAGAAAACTATTATTGAATGCAATAAATGATGCTTTAATAAATCATCCTGAACTTCCCTTCAATTTGATAAATAAAGCTCCACTTAACACCACAACAATCCCATTTATAAACTTAAATCTGTCCCTAGTAACATCACATAAAACTATATAAATAGAGTCCTCACATATTTTAGATCAATAATTTTCATTGTAGATTAATATAGAAATAAATATGACTCTACACGTGACGTCACCGTTTCTTTTAGAAAACTTAGAAAACTACATCAACTTAATGCAGCCTAGACACATAATATAAATGGATATATCATTAGATATACCCATATTGACATACTAACAGATGAACTAAAAGATAGAAACAGATATATTGTTAGTTTTAAAGGTATTAAAAACAAAACTTTACCTGCAAGATCATGTTATTTTCATAACAATATCGCTTATACTGTATTTGCATCTGAAAAAGAAATGAACTCTACCTGTTTACAACAAAATTTTACATAATGGGTACAAATTGGACGGCAGATTCAGAATTCTCAACAGACAATATAATCAGCAAGAAACATTTTAATCATCAGAGTATACTTCTCGTAAGAATCCTCTTGGTAATCACAGAATCAATAATTGATCTTTTTCCTCTAATACAAGAAATAGAAAAGATGCCAGTTTTTCCTCCTCAAGTAGCTCACAAACTATAACAACATCCAAAAATATCAATAATAACAATAATCTCAATTCATTAGATTTAATTTTATCTAAACTCCAAGAATTGGATTTGATTAAATCTCATCTCACCAAATTAGATTTTCAATTTCTTGTATTCACTAATAATAATAGGCATATAGCTCATCGTTTATAATATACTCTATATTAGGTGAATCACAGATGAA